TCTAAGCCTACCCTGGTTTAGTTTAAAACCATCACCCCTTGTCTTGTCACAGCTGGCCCTACTAAAAAGATTTTCCCCGTCTTTCCTATAGGCCCCTTTAGGTACTGGAAGGCCGCAATCAGGTCTCCCCGCAGCCTTCTCTTCTCCAGGCTGAACAAGCCCAACTCCCTCAGCCTGTCCTCATAGGAGAGGGGCTCCAGCCCCCGGATCATTTTTGTGGCCCTCCTCTGGACCCGCTCCAACACTTCCATGTCCTTCTTGTTTCATTGGGGGATCTGTGCCCATCACCCGCTGCAGGCTGGAGCCATGCAGTGGGTGATCGGCTCCGGCCACTTGGGCTAGTTGCCTTGCACAGTTTTCTTCCCATTCTTGTTTGAAAACAATCATTCCTGCCCCGTCAAAGATCAATCTACAAGTTTGTTTTATATCAAACGGGAGCATGTCGTCTCCCCCGAAAACACCATCTATGAGGGTGGAGACCATAGCAGAATTAACCCCTTTGTCTGCAATTGCCTTAACAATCGCTTGTATATCTTTGGGGTTTATTGGTGTGTAGACTCTTTGTCCCCCCTCCGTCACTCGGACTGGGAATGCTAGCGCGGCCGATGGGGCCCAATCGGCGCACGCGATCTTTATTTTCCTCCAGTCTGTGAGAGGGAATTCTCCCCCTCGCGATTTTTCTTTAATTTGGATGGGGATATTTCGGCTTCTGACTCTGTTTATCTCTGCTGCTTCTTCTTCCGAGCTTGAATCTGTTGCGAACCACTCATCCCAGCTGGTGTATGAGTCAGAGTCGGAACTCGACTGACTGGTCGCTTCCGGTCCCCAGTACCTTTTTGTCAGGCTCCGGCCCCGCCCAGTTCCCTTGTGGGCAGGCCGTTCCCTCCCCCTTGGCTCGCCCCGCCTTCCGCTCGATGGGGAGTTAACCCTATAGGAGCACTTTCCAAAAAGCACGTTCTGATTAGCTCTCTGCCCCTCGCTTATCTTCTTTTCTCCTCCCTGGTTACTGTTATCACCCCCTTCTCCTTTGTTCTCCTCTCTCATCCCGTCAGGGGCATTTTCGCCGCGTCCGCCCCTTTTTTCTTCGGCGCCATCTTGGGGCGCATAGGGTGGCGGTTTAGTCCAGATTCCCTCTGACTCCGATTTTTCCGCAGCGCCTCTAGCCGCCTCGGCTAACCCGCCCCAGAAGGATTTAGCTCGTCTCTGTCCCTCCGTGAGTAGATCGGAATCTGGAACTTGAGGGGACGCGTCGCCCTCTTGCGGATCTTTAAGATTAGCAGAATCATCACCGTCCGGGGGGCACAAAGTCTGTGTGGCCGCCCCGACTCCCAATTTTGGGGTGGCTAGCAAACAGTTCTTTGCCGCCTTCCAGGTCTCCTGCTCTTGTATGGCCTTCTGCAGGGCCTGTACAACTTTCCCCCACGACTTAAGATTTTTCCCACTACCCGAGGACATCGTTTCCTCAGCTAGTGCCTTAGTGCACTTATCCCACACTTCGGGGTGGAGAATATCCACCGGCTGGTCAATGACCCCGATTTGCAAAAGCCTCGCAACTGCGAGAGTAAAATCTTTGGGTTTACAATCAATACCCCACTGTTTATGCAATTGTGATACGACCTTCACAAGGGCTTCCATCCTCCTTGGTGGGCCGGGAGCGTCCTCCCCGCCGGGCTGGTCCTGCCGCTCCGGCCGCTGGTCACCTGATTCCAGGCGAGTTTCCCAGGTTTCAGCACCACTTGTGGCCTTTGGTGGCCACTTGTTGCCTTTGGAGGCAACTTGTTGCCTTCGGTGGCGACCACT